GTGTGTGTGTGTGTGTGTGTGTGTGTGTGTGTGTGTAGATCTGGGGCCGGGCATGTCCTGGGACAAAACCAGCCTAAAACTTACGGTTTTCTCTTGTTCTTCCTCTGCATCTGAATCACTCTCATCATCTGGAAGAAAACAGAACACACACTTTATTTAAAGAAACACAACAAAACTGGAAAGTAAGAAATGAGATAACTAAAATATGGTGTTTATACAACATATGCACAGTTGGCATATACAGTTATATGTACCCTGGGAATCATCTGGAGGTTTGGACAGGGCTTTGGCCTCATCTACATCTCCATCGATTGACACAGTCAGGTTCTTATCTAAAATGAAATAAAGAATAAATAGATAGGCAAAACTTACACCTCATACAGGAAAGCTCAACTTTGTCTCTTTGAAACATAGTATAGACCGTCAATGCTCACCACAAGCTTGGCCGTAAGCATTAGCTTGAACAAACAGYACATAGAGAGGTGGAGGCAGGTGCCGCGCAACCTCTGTCTGTTTCTGGATCTGTTCAAATGGCATRGACAGATATTCCTGCACTGGGAGAGATGCCTGTAAAGACACAACATTAGGAGTTAGTTTTAAATCAATTCATCAAGCTCAGAGTAAAAAAATAAAATGTTTTTTTGTATGGCCCATTTTCATTCTAACTAAAWATTGAACTTTCACCTGCATAATAGCATTAAGTCCTGGCTGCAAGCTCCTCAGATGCTCCTTCTTCACTTCAATAGTCTTCTGAATTTTCTCCTTTGTTGCCTGTGAGTCCTTGTATTTCTCTGCCAACCTGTATACAACCATAAACTTTTATTTACTCTTTGGTCAAATAAAACGGCACCAAGCAACAACAATCAAGTGCAACAGTCTATAATTGTAATATTTTGTATTCAAGTTTTCGCACCTTTTCCTCTGTTCGAGCTCCCAGTCCAGTCGAGCCAACGTGAGCTGATGGGCATCAGTTTTTGTGAGCTGAGGCCTGGAGATTTCTGTCGGGGCGTCCTGGTAAAACTCCTCTTCRCTCACCAAGTCAATTTCTTCATGTTTAGACCTTAAATCATAAACAACAGAAGTTAAGTACACATACGGTAAAGCATTTTTTAACATCTCAGTATGAGCTGTGAATGTCAAATTATTCATGTAAGCAAGTAATATGTTGTCACATCACATTAACATTTTCCGTTTCTTTTATGTTTGATTCAAATACTGAAATCTTTACTCCACTAATTTCATGGATTGTAAGTGTGTCTACTTTAGTTTTAATGTTTAATTAATAAAAACTGCAATTTGTTAAGTTAAATGTGAAATAAATCACTAAATGAAATTTTAAACAAGTGTAATCAAATATTCAACAACAGAGAACATACTAACTTGAATTCTARACATTTGCTGATCTCCTTCTGAAGATGCATAACTTCATAGAGCAGGTTTTGCAGCTGAAGGTGAAGCACATCAACTTTCTGTTTAGCCTAGAAAACACACACAAAAACACCTCTGTCACACATCTGTATAAAGAATTTAAACAAGAGAAGAYCTTGCAAAAAAAAAAGCATCTTTTATTTTCCAAAACTCAGAATTCAGTTTYTAAAGCTCGATTATAAATGTGTGTACATTCCCAACTGATAAAAGTACCAACAAACAAGCCTATGTCCATTAAAAACATCATTCACTGCACTTAAGTGTGAAAAGAAAAGTATTTGGTACTAAAAGTATTAAACCATTCCTTTAGTGATCAACACAAAAATAACCATATTCAAAATTGTATTAGCAAGTGAAAGTAACAGTACAAACATAAACATTAATGACTTGTTTGAGAATTACCTCATGTGTTTGGTCTCTGCCTCTCTTCAGCCGCATATGAGCCAGACGGTTGAGTTTTTTCAGATTCATGAAGAGGATGCAGCTCTGCATTCGCTTCTGCTCCACCTCCGCACTCTTAAGAAGAAACAAATTATACTATACATAAACAAGTACTTATAGTCATTTCATACACACTGCAATGTAGTTCTTAGAATATTTTTTTTAGATATGTCCCAAAAGCGCTGGCATGTGAGAAAGTAAATATCTGAATCATTTGCTTCAGACAGCTAGGATTTCTAACTGAAACTAAGCTTCTGTAACGATTTGATTGTCAAGTTTAACTGTGTGAAAGTTCTGGTGTATTGTTGAAAGATTCTCACCCCTTCCTTGGCTCCACTGGCTTTCAGCTCCTGGATCTCACTCATGAGTTTGGCTAAACTCTCACACGATTCTTTGTACAGCTTGTAGTCCTGTTC